CGGAGTATAGAATAAGCCAGATCAATATGAATCGCAATTATTAGCAGAGTAAAGCTGTGGAAATATAAAATGGAAGGAAGAGAGTTCATATCTGTTTGAATGAAAAATGATAACCTCACCTCAAATTGGTTCAATGTAGTGAATGTACAAAGTATTTATACAGGAGTGTTATATTGTTATTACAGTTTAGAATTTGTTATAACAAATCCGTAGACTAACAGCTAACTACTTCACATTATTCCTTATGCTCATATATCTTCACAGCCCCCCGTCAAGTTGGACTTGGTGGATTGAAAACAAGTCCTAACTTGGAGAAGAAAGTTTGATGTTGTTGAGAGCTTAAGGCCTTGGTAAATATATCTGATATTTGGCATGTGGTAGAAACGTGATGTGGTTGTAATAATCCCTCCTGCACTTGTTCTCGAACATAATGAACATCAATTCTAAGATGCTTTGTTCGTTCATGCATGACAAGATTTTCTGCAATGTGTTGTGCTGCTTTGTTGTCACAAAAGAGAGGAATAGGCTTGCTAATTTCCACAAGAAATTCCTTGAGTAAACCATCTATCCATGTGATCTCAGAAGCAGTGTAGCTCATGCTTCTATACTCAGACTCTGCAGTTGATTTGCTGACAGTCTTCTGTTTCTTGGTTTTCCAAGATATAAGAGAGTGACCCAAAAATATGCAATAACCAATTAGGGATCTTCCAGTTAAGTGACATGAACCCCAGTCTGCATCACAATAGGCCCTTAAATTCAGAGGGTTATGACCAGGATAAAACAATCCCAAGTTGATTGTAAATTTGAGGTATCTGACAAGATAGAGTGCTGCATTCATATGATTAACACGTGGAGTACTGAGATATTGGCTGAGTTGTTGCACACTGTAGGATAAATCAGGTCTTATGAGATTGAGATATAAGAGTCTTCCAATTAGCCTGTGATATTGATCTGGTTCTGGAAGGAAATCACTAGTGTCACCTCAAATTGGTTCAATGTACAAAGTATTTATACAGGAGTGTTATATTGTTATTACAGTTTAGAATTTGTTATAAATTCGGACTAACAGCTAACTACTTCACATTATTCCTTATGCTCATATATCTTCACAAAAGCTAACCCTACCAGATCGATCGATAAAAGAAATTCGTATAACTTATATAGATTCATATAAAGCCCATTTAATCGTATAATATATTCAGTAAACTCGTATAACAATTTTGAGCTTTAGACGTTTTTCATCACAACTTTACAAGCTAAGTAAATAAATTTCACAAGATATGGCTGAGGATTTTGTGTTCTTATAGGGGAGGAAATTTGACTATTGCCGCCAAAGTCTTTTTCTTTTTCCCGCTCCGTAGAAGTTTACTCCATATTAAATAGTTATATTTGTTATTAATTAATGGGGATAAACTAGTTTACTACCCCACGTAATCTATTTTACACGGTACAATGTAAAATGTTTTAAAGAAAGTGCCCTACAGTTTACATTAAATAATTAAAACAAACGGTGTAGAAGACCGAGTGATGCACCTGTCAGACGAGTTGAGATGTGTGGAGAAGAGACAAAGAAGAGAGGGAGAGGAAGGCCCAAACAGACGTGAGTTAGGGGAGTCCAAAGTGACTTGAATTTGAAATTTGATATGTAGTTGAATTTCCTAGTGAATAAAATTCGTGTGACAGAATTGATTTATTTAATTAATGCATGATTAATTAAATTATTTATCGGGTCCAAAAAAAGGAGAATGGGCTATCAAATATTTAGTTGGGTCGTTGTGATAATTATGGAAGCCCAATATAGTACCAACTAAGTCGATAAAAATATTTGGACAACCCGAGCGCTATTTTGGCCCAACCTGCCAAAAATGACAGGAGCAATTGGGAGGGACTTCCTACACCCATTTAAGACTTTCCCTACATGTATTGTACACCCTAACTAATGAGATGGAGACACAAAATAGTATAGGGGCGGACTTATGTGGGAGGTGATGTGCAAGACAAACACCCACACCCCTATGTCCCCATTTACTCACTTATTGAGTAAGTGATTGAAGAGGAAACTCCCCCACTCTCTTGCAATCATTCGGCCAGCACAAGGGAGAGGAGAGCTCAGGGAAAAACTCTCACAAAGATCCAAGCTTGAAGGCAGCATCAATAAAAGGAACCCAAGAGGAAAGGAGGTGTGTTGGAGGCAAGAACTCAACAAACACCTTTTAACTAGTTTTGTGTTGTATGATTTTTAAGAAATCATATGATGGATTAAATATGAAGTTCTACACGGTTAAAAGTGTAGAATATTGTTATAAAGTGGTGGTATTTAACTTAGAAGAGTCATGGAATCGATAAGAGTTGAAACCGCCGGAAACCGCCAAGTATAGGAGGCTGTTCGTAGTTGCAGACCACAAAAGCCGCCCAGCTTTCACCTTCTGTCCAGATTTTTCACTCTTGAACGACCTAAAACGAGGACGGATCAAGGGATGTCGCTAAGGCAGCTAGTTGAGCACATCATAAGGTGAGGATGACTGACTATATTGCTTATAATCCTTGGGTTAATTTCATAAGATTACCTAAGGTAATTAAATGTGATTTTCATGGATTATTAATGATTAATAATGCCTATATGAAAATATTATTGTTTATGAATAGAAGATGCATAGCATACAAATTTATGAGTAAATGGTGTATGGTGATGCATTATAAATATGATGGTATGATGATTGTATAAACCATGAATTTTTGGTGATGAAATATACTTTTACTTCATGTATAGAAATCATGAATGGATAAAAGTGATATTTTTGATATTGAGATTAAATCATATACGGATTGGAAAATCCATAGGAATGAACCTTATAAATGTGAAATTAAAGAGCTTGGTTGCTTAAGGACTAATGGATTAGTATTGAATTTACTAGTCGGAAATGTTAGTATGAAAAGTGATAGAACAAATCCTAAGGGCTTGGATTGTGAAAGATGTACCTTAAGTAGTCTTATGAGATGTCTTAAGGTAGAAATGGGTAACCGCTAAGTTACATTAGGAGTAGGCCTCATAGGCTACTCATAATAGAGGAACTCTAGGCATAGAATTTGCTTAGTGAACTAGTATCGTGACTAGAGGAAGCCTCTAGCACGATGAGGAATGACTAGAAGAAGCCTCTAGCATTCATGTAGGACGACTAGAGGAAGCCTCTAGCGTAATGTATGATGACTAGAGAAAGCCTCTAGCATAACGTAATGTGACTGGAGGAAGCCTCCAGCACAACGTATGTAAGGTGATTAGAGGAAGCCTCTAACACCAAGTGGGGTGACTAGAGTAAGCCTCTAGCACGACAAAACATGACTAGAGGAAGCCTCTAGCATGGTGAACTAATATAGATGGGCGTGACTTGAAGTCACGGGGAAAGGGTTGAATGTTTTCAAAGTAAACATGGGCCTTCGGGCCGACTACTTGACTTTATATATAAAGTTAGTATATTTTCAAATAGGGTAACCAAGGGTTATGACCTATAATATAATATCACTCTATTTAAGGGTCTTGGTAATTGAAACATTGATTATACTTAGTATAGTTGTCATTGTACTTGTCAAATGCTTCCAAGTACTGACCTCCCCTTCACGGGGGAGGCCACCTCACAGTTTCAGGTAGGGGATAAAGCTTGCTATCATCTCCCGTCGCTTCGGGAAGCTCAAGGAGAGAAGACGTGGTTCGTGCTTCCTCCGTTTCTATCTCAAAAATATTTAAATTAATGCTCATGGCTATTATTTTTTTTTTGAATAATTATTTGGGGGCTTGTATGCCCATGTTTACCACGGGTGGCCTGAACACTTGTATTAATGTTTCCGCTGCTTAATTGAATATTTTACATTATGATTGTTTATGGATGTACTATTGTGAATAGTATTCAAGACGCCTAGTATAGTATGGATGAGTTGGACTGCGGTTGACTATTCGTACTGTACGGCGGGTTGTTGACGTGTCCGGTAGGTCCGGGGCGTGACAGTTCTTGGGTTAGATGAGGGTATGACTTTGGAGAGAGCAAAGTGGAGGACGAGTATTTGTGTGGAGGAGTGATCTTGTATTATCTTTTCGCCTCATTTTTTTTTCTTGTATTTTTGAATCCTTTTTTCCTTATATATATAAACATTATTTTTATCCTTTTTTATTTTATCATTTTTAGGTATATTTATCTCTTTTTATATTATCTTTCTCATAATAGCTTATCTTTTTTTTCTTTTTTTTTCTTTCTTTTCCTTTTGGTGGTGATATCATGTATCGATTCATGTTAGCCGACCCCAATATCTTTTGGGATTAAGGCTTGGATGTTGTTGTTGGTGTAAAATGTTTACTTTCCCATACTTTACACGCATGGTGTTTACTTTACATCATACCAAACGGGCCCAAAGATTAAACATTTATCATACTAGACCAGTTCAGACTAGATCAGATCAGAAAATTTAAATCCAATTAAAAACATCCTGACACTAAACCTTGGTTATGTATGTTCTTTCTCCTATTTACGGAATTACATTTGGTTTTTTGTTGTTACATCAAACATTTAACAGCTTATTTTTACCAGCTTATTTCATTCGTTTGAAACCAAGCTTATGTATCGTTAACATCATTCCAATCATCTAATTTAATCTCTCACATTTTCATTTTTTAAAATATACTTCAATAAAACTTCAAAGAGAAAACATTGATATTCGTTTCAAGACGTAAAATACAATCTTTCGAGTTAAAGTTAATCAAGTCATCGGTGAGAGTTTCTGTTTGGAAAAGTCAAAATGGTACTAATAATATTACACATTCGATTGGCTAAAATAAATATCTTAAATTCGCATGTTTAATTTTGAGATACGTTTAATACTTTAATTTTCCACAAAATATGCACAAGCACAAGTGCACAACTATTCCCGGTAATATTTGAACAGTGATTATATGATGGTGACAACTCCGGTACCCATTAAAAAATGGGGTACCTTACCTACCATATATTTGATTGGTCTAAATCATTATATCGCTTTTAATTTATATTTAAATAATTCAACTGCATCATTCTGATTGATCTATGTAGACAAAGGTATAGTACCTTAGAGGTACCATAGAATCTACCTTCAAAGATAAGAAAGTTTTAACTTTTAAACACACGAAAAATGTGTTATTTACAATGAAAAATGATTTGTGGGTTTGGGAATTGTCGGGTTTAATTTGAAGTCACGCTAACTACAAAAAATTGGAATTGCCCTTCAACAGTTTTCCACTTCTTCCACTTTTGCAAGAGGTTTCAATGAGTCATCATCGTCAATGGTTCTTCGGGAAGGCTCTCCTTGATCGGCATCCTGTGTCACGGCCGTAGCCGTTGTGGCGGAGCTTTTGCATGTTCGCGACGATCGGGTGGAGCCATCTACGTTGAAATCCCGGGACTTCTTTCGCCGCGATTTCTTCGGAACGTCCGGTAATGAGGGGTCCGGCCCGGCGTCGGGCTTGGACCCCTCGATGGCAGTCTTGTGCCTCCTAGACTGCCGCGGCTTAGATGATTTGGGGGAATCGCCACCACCATCATTGTCACTGCAAGAAAGGTGCCGTCTAGACGATTTTTTACCTTCCGCCGCATCTCTACTTCCTGATTTTCCACGTCTTCCCTTCGAATCTAAGAAACAAAATAAATATGATTGAATATACAAAGCATAAATAATGAAAATTCTTGTTGTAGACGCTCAAATCTTTACACGCCTTATACATACCGTCCGTGCAGTGGGGGTATTTTTTGAATATGAAATAATACCTCCATTCCGTTGGAAGATTCCCATAGAAAAACGGCATGGTTATTTAGACAATAATTCAATTAAGTACTTCAATTATATTTTGAGAAATAATTTTAATAGGTATATATTATAATGTGGTTAGTTTTGATAATTGTGATATTATAAATGTATTATTTTTAATATTTAATGACTAATTTGTCACTTAAGATTGTTAATTGTTTCCTAAATTGGAAATGAGAACCTTTATATGGGACGTACAAAAAAGGAAAATGAAAACTTCTAATCAGATTGATATAAACAAATAATAAAGGAGTGTGTTTTTCGAAGAAAACAAAATCGAGTCTCGAAAGGACATGCGATATAAACAAACCTTCAGAAACCCATTTGATCTCTGGGTTCTCTTTGGAATCCACAGGTTGGCCTAGAGGTGCTGATTTTAAAGCTCCCGCTCCTTTGAATTCATTCATCTGCATACATTATCTCCAATCAACATCTTGATGATATTTAAAACTATATCTAAACATGAATAAAAATTCAAATCAGATCAAATTATATTTAAAAAAAAATTATATAAAAACTACTAAGATTATTCTAACGACAAATTCCTTATTCCATATCATTTGACTCAAATAATGTTTCTCTTTTAATTTCTAATATTTTGTATTAATTTTTTTCATATTTACATTTAGTTTTTCTGACTTATTAGTATTACATATAGAGCATTTTCAAAATATGTGTATAATTACAAAAACAATATAACCTATGTTAATGTGAAAGATTTAAGCTATGCTCAATCAGAAACACTAACCATATAAAACAAGTAATAATGGGTGGTGCAAATTTTAAAAATAAAGGATGTTTATAAGGTATGTCGGTGATACCCAGGTTGGGTTGTCAACTGCAGATGGTCCGTCCCATCCAATGTGGGCAACATGCTTTACATCTGTGGGAAATCCAATCTGTATTTCAGCTTCTTTTTCTTCATCGAATATCTGCGATATGTACCTAAGCCCTTTTATAAGCCCTTTCACCTTTGTGGACATCCTTCAAGTAACGCCCTATTCAATCTAATTCATATCATTTTTCTTTGATATACAAACAAAAAATCATATCTTTAAAATTTCTGCCACAAAGTAATAACCTATGGAGATTCCTCCAAGGAATATAGATTGCATTGGTGAAACGTCATTCGGTGAACACGTTGAGTTTCTTCCAAGAATATATGGTTGAAGAAGAAAAATGAGAATATGATCAAGGAGGAGCAAAAGTATGGAAAGAAATATGTGAACATTAGTCATCGGGGAAAATGGAAAAAGAAAAGGTGTTAAAGTTAGAGTTCCCACATTTCAACGGCAATGCATTATTGACTGGCTATTGATGCCCGTTAATCAGGACTTGAAGCCCATCGATATTTTAGGGATTCTAGACGAGTATTATGCAACTTTTTCTTCAAAAAGGAATATTTACCATTTGATTCTATACTCTGTATAGTGAATAAAAGGAATACATATTAATCAAAGAGGAAATTACTCAAGATGTGAGTAAAAATAATGTGAAATTCTACAATAAGAGGATTGTTCTAAAAGGCGCCAAAAGACAGGAAGGCGTTGGCGTTAGGCGCAAGAAATCGCCCGCATACTAAAGAGGCGTAAATAAAACACAAGAGTTTAAGAAACTACATACATTGATATTTATGTAACCTAAACTTTAAGTAAACAAAAAATTAAAAGAATCATGTTTTACTACATTACAAGAATCATTGAATTACTACATTATTCATATGTTTAATTATTATTACAAGAGTTTTTCCCTAAAATATTACTATTGAAAAAATTATGGATGAAAATGTGATTATAAGTTACTATGAGTAAGTTTTATAGTCACTAAAATGTAATATTTGAATACAAATATAAATTCTTTGGTCTTATAATATATTAATATTTCTATTTGAATGAGATGAGCGGTGTATTGTTGGTGACTTTTATATATATATATATATTTTTTTTTTTTGGTGACTTTTATATATATATATAGCATTTTATATATTTAATTATTAAAATAAATAGATTAACTATTCAAGTCTAATTCTTTTTTTTTTTTAAATTTTTAGGGTATTATAAATTTGATTTAATATATTAATATTTTAGAATTATTTAAAGACAAATGTTATGTTGCTTCAAGTGGTGGGGTGGACCCGCCCTGCGTGGAGTGGGTCATGGCTCAACAAGTTTGGAACATGTGGGTCATGGGCGGGGCGGGTCCACCCAATAGTCACGGGGCGAGTCCGGGTCTTACATTACCCGCCACGACCCATTGTCATGCCTAGACCTCTAAGAAAATGATTCGAATTGGCCCCCCTAAACCATAAAAAATCCAATTAACATCTTGAACTCAATAAAAAATCAAATTACACTTTTTGCAGAGAATGGTTCGGTCATATCCATGTCACCCTGTAAGGTGCGAACTATGTCTATGACGTGACAACTAAAGGCATCAAATAATCCCATGAATATAATTAAATGCATCAAAGGCACCTATGTCGAACCCTTAACCCTAAACCCTAAACACTAACCTCTAAAACCCTATTATCAAACCCTAAATCCTAAACACAAGGTTACCTTATCTTTTCACATAATGTATAGTGAAAGTGTTCCGAAGAGCCAATGGAGCTATGACCATGAATAGTCTGTAAAATATATATGATAACAGAGACTACACCATATTTCAATCCTACTCGCCAAGGAAAGCTTCGATTTAATTAACCGGTAAAGCAGGTGACTACACCAATCCCGAACCCTAAACATTGAACCCTAAACATTAAACCCTAAATGCCCTTGTATGGCTTTCGTACAATGCAAATAATAAAACTCATAAATATGCACACACCTAGCATTATTTTATTCATGATTTCATTAAATAGCATTATTTCAATTGAAATGCAAAAAACATCAAAGCCAATAGTGAAAATCGGTTCCATGACAATATAAATATTATCACTGGTGTATTTTTCATTAAAATCTCGAAAAGCAATTTATGCATTTGCCAATCATTAACAATAAGGTGTACAATCATTCTTGTAGATACTCTGTAAAGTGAGGCAACATGTACATAATCTTGTTTTCCCAGGTCTGTTAACACACACACACACATATCGTACTCGGCAAGGGAAGCTTCGAGTCAGTTAACCACTAATCTCAAACCCCAAACCCAACCCTGACCCCAAACCCCGAAAACCAAACACTAAACACTAAACCCTAACCCTCAACCTCGAAACCACTAGAATAGAAATGAGAATCTTTTACTAGGACTCTAAAAGAGGCAAGTGGGCAGCTTGATCTCAGATGGAGAGAGTATTACATTTGAAATTCACATTAGCTTAAATTTTTATATTGTAATAAGAAATAATTTCAAATATATAACCAAAATAATTGTAGTGGACAAAAAGGGTGACCTTGGTAACTTTAGTGACTTTAATTTTATTCAAATACTACATTTTAGTGACTATAAAACTTACTCATAGTAACTTATAATCACATTTTCGTCCATAATTTTTTAAATAGTAATATTTTAGGAAAAAATTCTTGTATTAATAACTAAACATATTGTTGGTCCCAAAATAAGGATGTATTGAACAGCAAAATACGATCTATGACAATATAGGTAAGGTCTAGATAATGATATGATCAATCTAAGAGCAATAGAGCCTTACGCTATACTATCGAGAAGTATGAAAACCTTTTAGAGAATAGAATAGTACTGTATTGCTGATTATTCTCGGTCCTGTACCACAAGTACGCGCATTTATAGGCGCAGGTACAGGTACCGAGAATGGTAACCTAGAATTCTGGGCCTAGGCCTTTTTGGGCCTTAAACCCTTAGTTGGATTTATTACATCATAAATACATTAAAACGTTAATCTATTCTAGATAAATAAACAAGACATCAGACAAGCTTGATCACAATTAATATTTTTCCTCAACAATCTCCCCCTTTGTGATCAAGTGCCGTCTTGCTTCTTCTTCTCTTCACTTTTGAGCTTTATAATAATTCTTTCTGAGATTAAGTGCGTGCTCATAGTTTCTGAGTGAATTTCTTCTATCAAGTTGCTTTTCGATGGCCTGTAGGATATTGTCAATTCTGTGTAGTTCCTTCTGGTCTCCTTCAGTAGCTTCAGTCGATTTCTGTCCAAGTTCTTGTTTCTTTGATCGGAGCTGCTCCTAGATGATCTTCAACGTTCCGTCACAATACTTGTTAATTTCATCCACGAACATTAGACGCTTTTCGTTGTTATGATTCATATAGATGACTGATACTGGATTGTCAAAGATATGATATGCTTCAAAGGATTCAAGGCCAGGTCTACTCAAGTCCGGTCTAGTAAGATTCACCTTTGAATAGTTGTGCTCTATGGTCATCTGGAGGTCATGAGAGGCGTAGAACCGAACTTGTCTTGTCATGAATCTTTTTATCGCCTCGAAGCCTTCTTTAGCGAGTCTGTCTTTGTGAACTGGAAGCTCCCTGCACCTCATGAACATTTGATAAATGTCATCCATGTGCAGTAGAAAGAAGTCATTCTCTTGACAGGTGAACTCCGAGCCATCAGTACGTTGTAGACGAAAAATCATGAACTTAATTGTCTCTAGGTAATCTTCTGTGATTTCCAAGATTTTCAATATGGGACATCCACTTGTTGCAAGATTGTGATTTAGAATTTGTCGACGTTGCCCTGTGGATCTATGTCCTAGCATATACAGATTTCCTCCTCTGTATTTTCCTTTCAAGTGATTGATTCCTCGCATTTTTAATTCATTGAACTGTTTGACCTTTTCTGGTTGTCTCCAAATCTTCTCTCGAATTTCTTCAAGAAAGGGGGCTTTGATCCTTATGATTTCCCATTTTTCTTTAGCTGGTTCTGGTTCCTTGGGGTTTTCTTTTTGATTCTCCCCTTCCTTGAGTTCGTCTTTATCGAGTCCGATCATCATTGCATGGTATTTATTGAGGAACTCTCTGAGATGCCAGCTTCGACACATTTCGTATTGATCGGCTTCCACTCTAAGGTCATCCCACTCTGTCCATTTGTGGGGCCATTGATCATGAACTAGAAGATCTTCAAGCTCATCTTGTATTGGATTGTCAGAGGGTTCAGAGGGAGCTTGCTGCTGTTGCGGTGACATGTCTGGCGTAGCATCGGGATCTTGGTGAGACTTGCAGGGATCCTCAATTATCTCAACATGATGCTCTTGCGCAGAGACCAGACCTCTATACTTCGTTACATGCGGCCCATCCTCCCTTGACTGAGAAAGTGAAACACCGGGATCCTCAGGATTGCCCGTTGACATCAGTTTCGAACTAGGTTCGAACTGATGGCCTGAGTAGGAAGATGTACTCGTGGTAGCATCATCAGGACTTCCATTCCGTCCTTGGTTAACATCTATAGGAGATGCACCTCGGGATGTTATGTCTAGCTCGACCATGCTAGAAAGAGTGGCTAGGGATTTATGGCTAGCTGAAGTAGTGGGTTGCTCATTGGTAGAGGTGGAGGGTTGGTTTGGCTTTGAGGGTTGGCTAGTAGAAGCAACATGCTCAAGTATCCGTTGGCGCTTGTTCTCCCCCTCATGAGAATCCGAATCATCGGGATCCTCATGTGAACGTTTAGCGCCACGGAGACTGTCACGGCATGTGTTCTGTGTATCTAGAGCATGGAGAAGGGCTTTTTGAAGAGGGGTGAGGTTGCCTTCTTCCACGTCTAGTATACGGTCGTAGATCTCAGCTACAAGATCCTCGAAGGGTACAGTTGTTAGGTTGGGTTTGGTCGTTGTAGGGGAGAATACTAGTTCTGTATCCTGGGTTCCCCTTGATGTGGATGGTTGTTGGTTTTCTATGGTTAAAGGTTTGGAAATAGGTATAGAAATGGTTGGGGGCTGTGTTGTTTGGGGTTTGGATGGTATATTCTGAACAACTGGGGCACTTCCAGAGTCTTGTGCATTAGCGGTTATTGCTTCATGCACCCATGGTTTAATGGTAGACTCTAGAAAGCTATTCAGATATACGAGAATGTCTTCGGGGATAATGGTACCAGTTACAGGGGTTGTAACTGTTGTCACAGCATCAGTGAAGATAGCTGATGTGTGGCCTGCGTTCAATGATCGAGGCATTGTTGGCGTAGCAGGACTTCCGACCATCATAGTTTGCACTCCGGTCGTTGCATTCAGGGTGAGTGCACCTGTATGTGCAGTGAATAGTGTAGGTGTCCTAGAAAAATTCAAAAATGTAGGAATGGCGACACCTA